GCAAGCATTCATACCTAGATGCCAAAGTAAACACGGGACGAAAGAAATGAGTGAGACTAATAATGAGTATGTATGTGAAATACTAGCCTTTCCAAGGAGGAAAGGGCAGACTCACAGAAAAAGGAGGTTTATGCCAAATATATCGGATATCAAATTGGATGAAACTTAAATGATTTGGACTGGTGACTAGGAATGAATGAGAGAGGGAGGCGGCCGTGTAGAAGAATTAGAGTACTGTGCCTGATGACATATAAAAACCATGAGCAATCCAGCTATTTGCTTTCAACGTTGGGTAATAATTATCTGTGCATTAAAGGAAATCTATGGCTAAACCGATGGAGTGCCCTAAGGATAATTTAAAGAGGAACTTCCCCTTTTTGAAAGTGACATTTCTTCTTTTGCTTAACCCAAATAAATGTTATTTAAGCTTTTAGTGGGGCGATTATGAAAAATGTCCCTGCAGCTTCACCGGTCGAAGGGTTCTGCCAACATGCCCTGTGAGGTTCATAGGTCACACAAACAGGGTCATTCACTAAACAGGGAATTTTTGGAGTATTGCAAAGGAATTTTAGACCAAAATACTGAACCTGAAAAAAAATGAATTGGAGAATTTTCATGACTGAAATTTGGAATTTCAACGGTCTAAAAAGTTAGTTAATTACACTAAAATCATAAAACATTTGCAAGTTGCATTAAATTAAAACAATGTGCATTAAAAACACCTGCTTTCAAAATTATGCTCTAAAATATTTAGCCGAGAACAACATAATAGAAATTAGGAAAAGCTTACCAGTGTGTGGTCCATCTGAAAAGTTCTTGCTCTGAAAAAAATCTTCCAGTATGTTAATAGAGAGTACGTGGAGTGCAGTATTCTATTCCAGGGGCAAAGAGATAAATTCTATTACCTTCATTAACTGTATTTTAACATTAGGTACAGCTGAACAAAAAAAAGTAGCAGACCCAACACCTTAACGGAACATTCCAAATGCCATAACCACTACAGGTTATAGTGTCCGAAGTGCACACTCAGCCAACAAGCGCAGACCGGTATCTACCATTCTTTAGCTCTGTGAAGACACCTGGCTTCTCGTATTGAAGACCAAATGCAGCACAGGTGCTCGATACACCCAGGTAAGTAATAAAACTGTTTGCCAAATTACACTGGGAGAGAGCCATGGAATTCCTGGCGCCATGACTACTACAGCAGGCTGTAGAGGTTATAATGTTTGGAGTGTTCCTTTGATTGTTTCAAGCTCCCAAGCCCTTATTTATAACTCTTTGACTAAGGACACACATTAAAGGACCACTATAGGCACCCAGACCACTTCAGCTCATTGACGTGGTCTGGGTGCCAGGACCATCTAGGGTTAACCCTGCCTGCTGTAAACATAGCAGTTTCAGAGAAATTGCTATGTTTACATATGGGTTAATCCAGCCACTAGTGGCTGTCTCATTGACAGCCGCTAGAGGCGCTTCCGCATTTCTCACTGTGATTTTCACAGTGATGAGATGCCAGCGTCCATTGGAAAGCATTGAGAATGCTTTCCTATGGACTGACTGAATGCGCGTGCAGCTGTTGCCGCGCATGCGCAATTAGCCGATGACGTCCGAAGGAGGAGGAGAGCGGTAAGATTTTAACCCCTTCATCCCCCTTCAGCCCGGCGTGCAGCTGTTGCCGCGCATGCGCAATTAGCCGATGACGTCCGAAGGAGGAGGAGAGAGGTAAGATTTTAACCCCTTCCTCCCCCTTCAGCCCGGTGGGAGGGGGGCCATGAGGGTGGAGAGGACCTATAAATACTATAG